CCCCGCTCCGCCCCGCCCCGCGCCGCGCCGGGCCCCCGCTCACCCCCGCGGCCCCAGCGAGCCAGGCGGCAGCGGCTCCCGGGCAGAAAGTAGTGTTCCGGATGGGGTAGGCATACGGGCCGCGGGGCCGCGCTCAGGTTCACGGGCGCACGCAGCTGCAGCAGCGCCAGGTCCGAGGCGTCTTCCCACGAGGCGTTCTCATGTGGCACCAGGAGCGCCACCCGCTCCGCGCGCGGGCGCGAGGGTAGCAGCACGCGCCAGGCATCCAGGTCGCGGGGCGGTCGGTCGGAGCTGATCGGACTGCGGGATGGGGAGGCTGGGGACGCAGGCCGGATCCCGCACACCCGGCGGGAAACCTCGTATCCTTGGCTTAGACTCAGTATCTCCAGGCTAGGATCCTTCATACGCGGCCGGATCCCCAGCCCTATCCGCGTTCGAACCGCACACTCTATACCACCCTCTACCCGCCGCCGCCAAATTAGGACCGCTCTTTTCATGCTGAATCATACAACTTCGAATGGGACACTGCACTCCAGACTGAGGTGTCCCCCATCCCCACCCTGCCCGAGGGGAGGGTTGGGATCAGGTAGATGGGGTCTCAGGCCGATGGGGGAGGGGCAAGGATCTGCTTGGGACGTGGATTCTCACTCACTCCAGAAAACAGCTGGCAGGTGCCAAGACCCAGCTTTCAGAAACCAGCGCCCCATGGCAGGGTCTGGACCCTGGCACCATCACCCGGGCCTCCCAGGGCCAGGTCCCTGGCTGCAGGGCCTTCCCGCATTCTGAGGAGTGAGAGGCCTAGGTCAGGGGGTCTCCTGAACCCCCCTCACCCCCAGCAGTCTGCACCTCAACTGAAATCTCCACGTCCAGCTCACATCCAGGAGTCCTGCCCCCTCACCTGGCAGGGCAATGGTGCAGTTCTCCCTGAGCTCTTGGAGCCCTGAGTGGGACTCCTGGGGCTGGGAGGGAAAGGCAGGCCCAGGCTCGGGACCCTTCACGTGTTCCTGTATCCATGCCTCATAGGGAGCCACAGCAGTGAAGACTCCGGGGCGGTTCCTCCGTCCACAGCCGAAGCCAAAGCTGGTGATTCCTGCCTGGAACCAGCGGCCGCCTTCCTCGCAGACCAGGGGCCCCCCAGAATCACCCTAATGATAGATGACTCCATGTCAGGGAATCAGCTCAGGACCCCATCAGTTTATACTGGCCTTGCAAAAGTCCTGCACTTCGTTTTGGCCCAACATACAGCCACCTTCTCCTAGAAACCTTCCTTGGCTGTGCCTTATCCTCTGTGTTACCTACAGCCCTAAGCAGAAGAAAGCCTTGTAAAGTAGAGGCTGATGGGCAGACAAAGCCAAGAGCACAGAGCTGATGCATTAAAGGCCATACAAGAGAATCCTGCAGGTCCATTCAGAGCAAACGATTCTTGCCCAGTAAATAGTTCAGATAAACCCTGTCTTTGATTTCTAAGTTCACACAACTGTGAAAAAAGTAAATCAGAGATGCTGGCATTCATTCAGGAGGAAGAGGCTGTTAGATATAGGCAATCTAAAAGCAGCAAGAAAAAAAAAAGATAATAAAAGAAGCAAGAAGGGACAGTCTGAAAGCACTTGAGGGATTACAATGGACAGACACTAAAACAGTGGTTGTGCAGCCATTTAATGTTGGGGCAATGTCTCTAAGTCATCTCTGTAACCCAGGTCAGGCATCTCTGTGACCTGAGGAGGATCACAAAGGAAGCTCAGAATTATCTAGAGCTGCACTGCCCAATATGGTAGCCATTAGCCACATGTAGCTATTTAAATTTATTTTTATTTATTTTTTGGTGGCTGGCCAGTACAGGGATGGAACCTTGTACCTGGGTGTTATTAGCACCATGCTCTAACCAACTGACTTATCTGGCCAGGCCTTAAATTTAACTAAATTTAATCAATCAAGTAGTTATTAATTATTAATTTTATTTTAATAATAAAATTAAAATTTTAGTTCCTCAGTCACACTAGCTACATTTCAAATGTTCAATAGCCACAAGTGGCTAGCAGCTACCATGCTGGACAGCACAGATACAGAATATCTCCATCATTGCAGGAAGTTATATGGGACAGCACTGGCCTAGAGGAATTTGAATTGTTTGCAATCCTGTTCAAGAAGGCAGAGGATTTTATCAATGGGGCCTGGAACCTCAGAATCAGGAGGGACCCTAAAGACCATCTATCTTGAATCTCCACCACCACCATGCATGCTTGGGTGCCCTCAAAAATGTGTGTCATGGATTCCCCTACCAACCAGCCACCAAAGAAAGAAAAAAAAAATGACGTTTGAAGAAGTTTTCTGAGCAAAATGATTAAAATATACTGTGTTTTGGCCTTCAGTAGGTTATCTGGAAAATTCCCTTCTGTGAAGGATTAATTCATTTTTTTTTTTTTTAAAGATGACCGGTAAGGGGATCTTAACCCTTGACTTGGTGTTGTCAGCACCACGCTCAGCCAGTGAGCCAACCGGCCATCCCTATACGGGATCTGAACCCGTGGCCTTGGTGTTATCAGCACCACACTCTCCCGAGTGAGCCACAGGCCGGCCCCGGATTAATTCATTTTTCTGTAACTATTTATTGAGCACCTACTAACTAACAGGTGTTGTGCTATGGGCAGGGTGTGGGATAATAGTAATAGTAGCTAGTATTTACGTAGCTTTCTTTTTTTCTGGCTGGCTGGTACAGGGATCTGAACCCATTACCTTGGTGTTACAAGGCTGCACTCTAACCCACTCAGCTAACCGGCCTGCCCTACTTAGCTCTTATTAAGGACCAGGTACTGTTAATCATAACAACCCTGTGAGGTAGGTAACACTATTATTCCCATCTTCCAGATGAGAAAGTATAGGCACAGGGAGGTTAAGTAACCTGGCCAAGGTCACACAGCTAATAAGTAGTGGTGCTGGGTTTCTCACCATGCCAACTCACTCCAGAGCCTGGCATTTTCCTGCACTATACTGCTATAAATAACAGTGTCCACTTGTCGAGCCCCAGCTTCTACCCGTTTATAATCTCACATCAATCCCATTCATTGGCAATCTTGCCCTCTTTTTGCAGATGAGGCTCAGAGTGATGGGATTTATCTATTCTTCACACTTTTTCCTATTGGTCAGGGATCTGGCCCTGCCAGGTAGGTTCAGGGGCCTCCCCTCACCTGGCAGGTGTCCCTGCGGCCCTCTGGGTAGCCAGCACACAGCATCCCTGGCAATAGTTGGAAAGTGAGGTTGAAGGGGCCAGGCCGGCTGTAAAGACACTGGCAGGCAGCCTCTCCCAGCAGCATTAACTCCACTTCCTGTAGCACCCAGGGAAGAGGCAGAGGGTCTGGGGGCAGAATCAGAGAGCAGGTCCTGTGAGGCAAGTATAGAGTCCCCAGTTCCCAGGGCTCAGCTTTCTCCCCTCCAGCTGCCTCCTAGACATCTGCATCGATGCCCCATGGCACCTCAGCCCACCATATTCACCACATCTCCTCCTGCTCCTCTCTGTTCTCCTTCCTGTGTCCTCATCTCAGGAATGGCCCCATCAACCACCTGGTGAGAGCTACCATGCATGGTTTGTGCATGGCACAATGGTCCCCAGCCAACAAAGGATGTATGTAGGGGCTAAACTCATGAAGATCTGAGCCCTTATGTGAAGTTGTGTTGCTCCAGAGGGGGCACCCTTTTCACAAAGATGCCTTTTCACCCCCGCATAGACTAGATGTGGTCCTGGGCCTAAATGCCAAGCATGGAATCTGGCTGTCATCCTCGAGTCTGCTCTCAACTCCCTCTTCCCGGTCAGTTCCCAAGCCATGAAAACCTCTCCTCTGTGACTTCTCGGTATTCAAACTTCAACTGCCTGAGTCCAGGCAGCATAACGGTGATGATCGACCCAGCCTCCCGACTGTCCTGGCCTCTAGTTCATGCTACATTTGCTGTTGCCAGAGGAATGTTTCTAAAGCTCAGCTCTGCTCTTACCAGGAACAGTACCTGGACCCCAGTGTCTAAACCTGACACTTCAGTCCTATCCCCAGGGGAACCTGCTTTTGATAGAAACAAAGTCACCTCCTACGGCACCTCCCCAACGCACCCAGTCCTGGCACAGGTCTGATCACAGCAGATGTGGAATATTGGTGGGGGCCTTGCTAGCAGGCAAAGGTAGCATTGGATGACGGGGGTGACCGGGAATGGAAAAGTGGTCTATTTCCCCCCCCACTTTCAAACACAGTGTTTGCTTATTTATTGAATTTGTTGTCTACCCACTAGAAGGGAAGCTCTTAGAAGGCAGAGTTTTTGCTTTTACGTTCACCAGTGTATCTCTAATGCCTAACACACTGCCTGGCACATAAAAGGTGCTCAAGAAATATCTTGAGCAAAAAGAGTGAAGAATGAGGGTGAGCAGGGAGAAGACAGGAGGTGGGGAGTTAGAGAGATGAGCAGGGGGTGGATAGAATGGGAGGAAGTAGGACGGGAGGGAAGGAGGGCAGAAGCTGATATTTGCTGAACTCCTGCTGTATGCCAGGTGCTGAGCTTCAGTGCATTCACATAGATTACCTAAAGGAAAAATACCTAAAATGCATTCATTACTGCTATGCTAGGCACTGTGCTATAAGCTTTACCTGTATTTTCTCATTTAATTCGCCCGACAACCCCATGAAGTGGGCACCCCTATTTTCCTCATTCTACAGAGCAGGCAATGACTGGCCGAAGTGCTTTGTCTGAAATAGCAGAGCTGGGAGTGGAACCCTAATCGGATCTTAAATACGGGAAGGAAAACACGGGAAGGAAAGGTAATGGGTGTGTCCATGTGATTCAGTGTCTCAGTTTGAGATCCCCGGAGAGGACTGTCGCTGGAGATGCGAACGGGGTTGACCCGCGGGCTAGCCCAGGGGCCCGGGTTTCAGGCCCCCCGCGATGTCCCACCTCCGCGGCTGCGCCCCGGCCCCTCACCCGCCTCCTGGATGTCGCCCCAGCCAGTGGCCCAGCAAGCGGTGCCGTGAGCGAAGCGGTGCGAGGCGCGCGGCAGGCAGACGGGCCGCAC